GAAAGTGGGGGGGGGTGGGGGGGGGGAAGGGTAAACGGGGGGGGGGGGAAAGGTTAACGGGGGAGGGGGGGGAAATGGGGGGGAAGTAGTGAGATTTTCGGTGGTGAGGGGGGAGTGTATTTTTTAGTCTGGATATGTGTGTGTGTGTTGTGTGTAATTTTGTGGGGAAAATTAGAAAGGGTTTTTTAAAGTACGAAAGGTAGGGGGCTTGTGCTTGTAATGTAGAGTCTCATGGTCCTTGCTGCCCAAAACTTCTTGTGACCTGACCCCCAAACCTCCGGGGGACTTGACTGGCACTACTTACAGTGTGTGTGTGGTGTGTGTGTGTGTGGGGTGTGTGTGTGTGTGTAGTTGTGTGGTGTGTGTTTTTGTGGTGTGGTATGTGCATGTGTGTATGGGGCGGTGTGTACTCACCAAATTTTTACTCACCAAATTTGGGTTTGCGGGGGTTCGAGACTCAGCTCCTGGCCCCCCCCTTTCCCCTGATCCTACGGGAAATCCTCTCTCTCTCCCCTTGCTTCCTGAGCTTTGTCAACCTCTTCTTAAAACATGTTGGTTCCTCCCCTCCACTATTTTAAACCTTGCTAGGCTTTTCCCCCACTTGCTGACAACTCTATGACTGAAGAAATCTTCCAAATGTCCCGGGCTCGCTGGGGTTTTCAGCTTCCAGTTGTGACCCCTTGGGCCCGGGTTTCCCCCCTCTGGAACTCCTATCCTGTCCACCTTGTCTATTCCCCCCCAGACTTGTATGTTGTTATCATGTTCCCCCCCAGAAACCCCTTTTGTCCTCCCGTGTCTCCAAATCCCATTTTTCCCCTTAAAACCCTTTTTTCCCTACACATTCCCCTTTTAGCTTTTTGGACTTTGCCTTGTTTCAAAACCCTTTTTACCCTTTTTCTAACTTCTTGACCCTGCTTGACCAGGGGTGGGTTTTCCCGAATGGGCTGAAAACTTTCCCAAAGGGCCCCAACATCCCCAGTGTAAAAGTTCTGAAAAGATTCCTTATTAAAAATATCGGGAAAGCTATTTTTCAGGTTTTTCCAGGCCCCGATGCTGCAGGGGGTTATTTGGTTGTGTGTGCCTCCGTGATGTGCTCGGTTTTTATGGTCACCCCAAAAAGGGCCCTTTCCCCTGAGTGAGGTCTGTAGTCTTTGTCCACCTGCCATACTCTGTCTGCGGTCTTCCCTTTTCCCCTCCCCAATCTTCATACTTTGGGTTTGGCTGGGTTTGAAATTTGAGAACCAGTTACTGGACCCCATGGCCCCCCTCTCCAGGGCTCTTTGCACCGCCTCATCCTCGTCCATTTAATTTTTTCCATCAACTTCACGTCAAACTGCGAACAAGGGGCACTTCAGAGTCTAATTCCCTTTCCCTCCTGTTTTTCAATATATCAAAAATAGTACGGTCCAAAAACTGACCCCTGTGGGGGCCCCGCCGTAAAAAAGGCGCCCACCGTTATACCCCCTTCAACCCTACCATGACCGTTGCTTTCCCTTTCCCGTCGGTATTCCCCTTTTCCATTTTCAGTCCCCTTTCCTTTTAAAAGTGTCCTGATCCCCAGCTTTTGCACAAAACTCTTTGGGGGAAAATGTGTCAAAAAAAGGCCTTCCCCGCAGCTAGGAAAACCAATCTACCCCCCCCTCTCTCTCTGTCTTACTTCTGTTTCCCTTGGGCATAAAACTCCAGGAGGGTTTTTGGGTGCAAGGGTTTGCCTTCCATGAAAACCCCCGCTGGTTTTCATTTATTTTTAAAACTTTTTCCCTTTCCCCGGGGTTCGAAGGCCACCCCTCCCCCCTGATAATCTTTCCATGACCTTTTTCAAAACAATTAAAATGTCAAACAAAAGGCTGTATTTAGTTTTCCTCGTTTTTTTTTTCCTTTCTTAAATATGGGGACTACATTTCTTAACTTCTTTCCCTTTCTCGGTAGTTTTTCCCATTTCAATGGATGTGTTGAAATTGTGGGTTTAAGGGACAAACAGCATCTCTGCTCCCCTTTTTCTAAAAAAACCCCCTGGGGAAAGTTGTTCCCGGGGGCCCATCGGGCCTTTTAGGTGTCAAGGTCCCCTTAAGAGGCCCCCCTTTTTCACCCCCCCCTCATTGTTTCCCTATTCATCCCAAAACTTGTTTTGGGATAATTTTCCCCCCTTTATGTTCCCTTCTGTGCTGTCTTCCCACAGCCCTTCCTGTCTCTAAATTTAAAAAAATTTTCCTTAAATCTCCTGTTCAGCTCCTCACATACCTCCTGATCATTTCTTGTGAGTTCTCCACCTTCTGTCCTTAATCTGATCACCTGGTCTTTGACTGTGTGTATGTATATGTGTGTGTATGTATATATGTGTGTGTGTGTGTGTGTGTGTATATATGTGTGTGTGTGTGTGTGTAATTATGTGTCGAATTATGTGTGGGTTTATTATGTGTCTGAAAAGTAGGTGGCTTGTGCTTGGAGTGTAATGTGGATTCTCAGTTGTCGCTTGTGTCCACAACCTCTTGTGACCTGACTCCCACCCTCCTGAGACTTACGCTCACCTACTTACAATGTTGCCTATGCTTGACCTGCTTATAGTAAGTTAATCGCCTTGTCCAATGGATTACCAATTGCTATTCCTTATTGAATATTTGAGTGCCTATTCTTTATCGTGCTATGAGAGTTAGACCATTCACATTCAGCTTGGCGGTTAATTGGAACCTGGAACCCCACACCCAAACAACCACTCATAGGTAGATACAGTACTTGTAGTACAGCTGTAGCAGCCTGTAGATTGTCCAGCTCGATGTGACGTCCTGGCGTAGATCCAGTTCAATGTACGTCCTGGCGTACCTCAATTTCTTCTCGTTAATAATGTACCCTATTCACTGTATTTCTCTCACTGGTCACACGATTGTTTCACTTTATTATCTTTCTTGGGTGACACTTGACAACGTCGCCTTACCACCCACACTAGCCTGCCCACTCTGCGCCACAACGTTTTTATTTTCTAGATCACTTACAAAATTGTGGCTCTCCCCACACTTATGTGGCTCAGGCAGATTAAAAATCACTTCTAGGATTGTTCACTACCCTGACACACTTAGCAACCCTTGCAGAACACTTGGGTAGCCCTCAAAAACACTTATATTCCCGGAGCACGGAAGGCGTGACTCGCGCGCTCGCTGTGTGTGTGTGTGTGGTTGTGTGTGGTGTGTGTGTGTGTGTGTGTGTGTGTACGTGTGTGCGTGTGTGTGTGTGTGTGTGTGTGTGTGTGTACATGTGTGTGTGTGTGTGTGTACATGTGTGTGTGTGTGTGTACATAAGTAAGTTTATTCATGTATACACAAATAGTTACATAGATTATCATACATAGCAGCATATGTGCAGAGAACTTAGGATAACCCAGTAAAGTCAGACATACATGTGTAGTGTGGCCTAAGTGTGAGTAAAAGTAGCAAGATATACCTGGTATCCTGCATGTTTGTGAGACAGGAAAAAAACACACTAGGAATCCTACCATTGTGTAAAACAATTGCAGGCTTCCATTTCACACTCACTTAGCAGGATGGTAGTATCTCCTTGGGTGGTTGCTGATACAGATCTATTAATAAATTTTCAAAGTTCTCTTTTTCAAGCTTTCAGGGCCATGCATTTACATCAGAACAGATAAATGACTACCCAGCTTTTTAATTTATGTAGTTGATTAACAAATGTAATACAGTGGACCCTCCTTTTTCATCATTAATCCATTCTAGAGTGTCTGACGAAATGTGAAATTGACGAAAACTGAAACCATTTTCCCCATATGAAATAATGTAAAACCAATTAATCCGTTCCAGACTCCCAAAAGTATTAACAAAAAATAATTTTTTTAGAGATTAAATATAGATTTACATGCAGAAAAGAATGACAGATATATTATAAAACACTAAAAACATATAAAAATGAAAATTTAAATCACACTTACCTTTTCCCGAAGACTCTTGTTTTGGGGTATGAAAACGGGGGAGGGGAGAGGGAGGACTGATTATTGTTTGGAAGGGGGAAACCCCCCTTACCACTATCACTACCACCCTCTAACCCCCATCACACCACCCCCACCACCCTCACTACCACCCCCTTAACCATCACTACCCCCTCCACCCTACTCCCCCATCACTACCCCCCTACCAAAAATTTACTTGCCCCCTTAAACCCCCATTAAACCACTACTGCCATCTACCACCTACAACTACTACATACCACCCTCTGCCACCATCACAACCCCACCACCTTCTACAACCATCCAACCACTACCACCATCACTACTACCCTCTATCACCATCATAACCACTACCACCCTCTACCACCACCACTTTCATATTTTTCTACAATCTTTTTCTTTAATTCTGTCGTGTTTCTCGCCTTCTTTACCAAAGGACTGGCACTACATTTTCTTGGGGCCCCATAGTGGCTTTTTTTACAGTCCACGATGAAAAAGGCAAAAAACAATTATTACGAAATATTTCCCATGAGCTCGCAGGAAAATGTTAACTCACCGAGAAACAAAGCGACACTGCCTCAGAATGCGTGTGTGGGAGGTTGTGTGTGCAAGCACATTCAGACATGTTCAGTACCACCAACGAGACTGGAGGAAAGTAACGAAAACTGAGCCAATATTTTTATGAAAAAAGTCGGTGAGAACTGAAATCCGCGAAAACAAAGCCCGCAAAAGGGGTCCACTGTACAGTGGTACCTTGGTTCAAGCATCCCGGTTTAAACAATTTGTAAGTTATTTTTGTAAGTGTTTTTTTGGGGCGGAAGGGTTTAAATCTAATTTATTTTATTCCTTTGGGAACAAATTCTTTTCTGTATGGCACTCGAAATCTTCGGGAACAAATGAATTTTGTAAATCGGGTACCACTGTATATTTTTTGATTAGTGTTGTTAATCAAAATTATTTGCTTAAAAGGTTTTAAAGGGGCTTTTTCATTTTAGGGTTGTAATGACAGAACATATGCTAAACAGCATCCAAGGGGTTTTCTTCCCCGGTTTCTCCAGGCTGGGCAGACATCCTTCTGTTTGCCCCCATGCCAGACTTTTATAGCAAGGTACAGAAAAATATTCCAGCTTTTAGATATTCTGCATTTTTTACCTGAACCTGCAGACTTTACATAAAGCAGGATTTTCTGCTAAACAAGAGTGCAAAAATAAAATATATATATATATTATATATTTATATATATATATATATATATATATATATATATTTATATATATATATATATATATATATAATATATATATTATATATATTATATAATATATATATAATATATAAAAATATATAATAATATTTTTTTTTTTTTTTTTTTTTTCAAAAAGTCGGCCGTCTCCCACCGGGCGGTGACCCAAAAAAAAAAAGAAAATCCCCAAAAAGAAAAACTTTCATAAATTCAACACTTTCACCACACTCGCACATTATCACTGTTTTTGCAGAGGCTCAGAATACAACAGTCGAACATAAACATATAAAATACACAACATATCCCTCCAAACTGCCAATATATATATATAATATATATATATATATATATAATTTTTTAATTTTTTTTTTTTTTTTTTTTTTTTTTTTTTTTTTTTTTTTCAACAAGTCGGGCCGCTCCCCCAGGCAGGGTGACCCAAAAAAACAAGAAAGAAAATCCCCAAAAAGAAAAAAACTTTCATCATCATTCAACACTTTCACCACACTCACACATTATCACTGCTTTGCAGAGGTGCTCAGAATACAACAGTTTAGAAGCATATACGTATAGAGATACACAACATATCCCTCCAAACTGCCAATATCCCAAACCCCTCCTTAAAGTGCAGGCATTGTACTTCCCATTTCCAGGACTCAAGTCCGACTATAGAAAATAACCGGTTTCCCTGAACCCCTTCACAAATATTACCCTGCTCACACCTCCAACAGATTGTCAGGTCCCAAGTATCATTCGTCTCCATTCACTCCTATCTAACACGCTCATGCACGCTTGCTGGAAGTCCAAGCCCCTCACCCACAAAACCTCCTTTACCCCCTCTTTCCAACCCCTTTCGAGGACGACCCCTACCCCTCTTTCCTTCCCCTATAGATTTATATGCTTTAAATGTCATTCTACTTTGATCCATTCTCTCAAAATGACCAAACCACCTCAACAACCCCTCTTCTGCCCTCTGACTAATGCTTTTATTAACTCCCAACCTTCTCCTAATTTCCACACTCAAATTTTCTGCATAATATTTACACCACACATTCCCCTTTAGACAGGACTCTCCACTGCCTCCAACCGTCTCCTCGCTGCTGCCATTTACCACCCAAGCCCCACATCCATAAAAAGAGTGTTGGTACTACTATACTTTCATACATTCCCTTCTTTGCCTCCATAGATAACGTTTTTTGACTCCACATATACCTCAACGCACCACTCACCTTTTTTTTCCCTCATCAATTCTATGATTAACCTCATCCTTCATAAATCCATCCGCCGACACTCAACTCCCAAGTATCTGAAAACATAAACTTCTTCCATACTCCTCCTCCCCAATTTGATATCCAATTTTTCTTTATCTAAATCATTTGAATACCCTCCCTCACCCTTTCTCTTTTCTATGTTTCACTTTCAACTTTCTACCTTTACACACATTCTCAAACTCATCCACTAACCTTTGCAATTTTTCTTTAGAATCTCCCATAAGCACAGTATCATCTGCAAAAAGTAACTGTGTCAATTCCCATTTTGAATTTGATTCCCCATAATTTAATCCCACCCCTCTCCCGAACACCCTAGCATTTACTTCTTTTACAACCCCATCTATAAATATATTAAACAACCATGGTGACATTACACATCCCTGTCTAAGACCTACTTTTACCGGGAAGTATTCTCCCTCTCTTCTACACACCCTAACCTGAGCCTCACTATCCTCATATCTAGGTAGTAGGTTGGTAGACAGCAACCGCCCAGGGAGGTGCTACCGTCCTGCCAAGTGAGTGTAACACGAAAGCCTGTAATTGTTTTACATGATGGTAGGATTGCTGGTGTCCTTTTTTCTGTCTCATGAACATGCAAAATTTCTGGTACGTCTTGCCACTTCTACTTACACTTAGGTCACACTACACATACATGTACAAGCATATATATACGCACACCTCTGGGTTTTCTTTTGTTTTCTTACTAGTTCTTGTTCTTGTTTATTTTCTCTTACCTCCATGGGGAAGTGGAACAGAATTCTTCCTCCGTAAGGCATGCGTGTTGTAGGAGGCGACTAAAATGCCGGGAGCAAGGGGCTAGTAACCTCTTCTCCTGTATATATTACTAAATGTAAAAGGAGAAACTTTTGTTTTTCCTTTTGGGCCACCCCGCCTCGGTGGGATACGGTCGGTGTGTTGAAAGAAAGAAAGTATATATATAAAAAATAAATATATAAAATATATATATATATATATATATATATATATATATATATAATATATATTTTTAAAAATATATATATATTATTATAGGTAGTAGGTTGGTAAACAGCAACCGTCCAGGGAGGTACTACCGTCCTGCCAAGTGAGTGTAAAACAAAAAGCCTGTATTGTTTTACATGATGGTAGGATTGCTGGTGTCCTTTTTTTTTGTCTCAGAACATGCAAGATTTCAGGTACGTCTTGCTACTTCTACTTACACTTAGGTCACACTACACAAAACATGTACAAGCACATATATACACCCCTCTGGTTTTCTTCTATTTTCTTTCTAGTTCTTATTCTTGTTTATTTCCTCTTATCTCCATGGGGAAGTGGAACAGAATTCTTTATCCGTAAGCCATGCGTGTTGTAAGAGGCGACTAAAATGCCGGGAGCAAGGGGCTAGTAACCTCTTCTCCTGTATATATTACTAAATTTAAAAGGAGAAACTTCAGTTTTTTCTTTTGGGCCACCCCACCTCAGTGGGATACGGCTGGTACGTTGAAAGAAGAAGAAGAACATGCAAAATTTCAGGTACGTCTTGCTACTTCTACTTACACTCAGGTCACACTACACATACATGTACAAGCGTATATATACATACCCCTCTGGGTTTTCTTCGATTTTCTTTCTAGTTCTTGTTCTTGTTTATTTCCTCTTATCTCCATGGGGAAGTGGAACAGAATTCTTCCTCCGTAAGCCATGCGTGTTGTAAGAGGCGACTAAAATGCCGGGAGCAAGGGGCTAGTAACCCCTTCTCCCGTATAAATTACTAAATTTAAAAAGAGAAACTTTCGTTTTTCTTTTTGGGCCACCCTGCCTTGGTGGGATACAGCCAGTTTGTTGAAAAAAAAAAATATATACAGTGGACCCCCGCATAGCGAACTTAATCCGTGCAAGAGGGCTGGCCGTTATGCGAAATGTTCGCTATGCGAATTAATTTTCCCCATAAGAAATAATGGAAATAAAATTAATCCGTGCAAGACACCCAAAAGTATGAAAAAAAATTTTTTTTACCACAAAAAAATGTTAATTTTAGTACACACAAACTGAAAAAGGCATGCACAATTACATGACACTTACTTTTATTGAAGATCTGGTGATGTTTGGGAATGGGATGGGAGGAGGGGAGAGAGAGTTTAGTGTTTTAGAAGGGGAATCCCTTTCCATTGGGATTTTGAGGTGCAAGTCCTTTTCTGGGGTTACTTCCCTTCTTCTTTTAATGCCACTAGGACCAGCTTCAGATCACTGGACTTCTTTCGCACAACATATCTGTCCATAGTGGCCTGAAACCTCTCTTTTCCTTTTTATGTTTTGTCTAAAGTGGTTCACAACAGTGTCATTGTAACAGTCACCAGCACGGCTTGCAATAGCTGTGTGAGGGTGATTTTCATCAAAAAAGGTTTGCACTTCAAGCCATTTTGCACACATTTCCTTAATCTTTGAAGTGGGCCCAATTCTTCAATTCTCTCCCCCCTCCTTTGAACCAGTTTCCCCAGGTCTGGCCTCTTGCTCTTGAAGTTGATCTATCAGCTCATCAGTGGTTAGTTCTTCATTGTCCTCCTCCACCAACTCTTCACACTCCTCCCCCACTAACCTCCAACCCCCAAGGACTTCCCAATTCCACAATTGATTCCTCAACTGGTATACTACCCCTCTCAGGTTAGCCTCAAACCCCTTTCAAAATCCCTTTTGTCTACACATTCTGGCCACAGTTTCTTCCAAGCAGAGTTCAAGGTTCTCTTGGGTCACTCCCTCCCAAGCCTTACCTATAAGTTTACACAATTGAGGATATTAAAGTGATCCCCAAAACTCTTTTAGAGTCAATCGAGTGTCTGTGGTCACTTCAAAGCACTTTTTGAAACAGAGCTTTTGTGTACAGTTTCTTGAAGTTGGAAATGACCTGCTGGTCCAGGGGCTGCAGGAGAGGAGTGGTATTGGGAAAGGCAAAAACTTCACCTTAATGAAGCTCATGTCCCCATAAAGTCGCTCTGCCACGTCTGTAGGATGACCAGGGGCATTGTCTAACACCAGGAGGCACTTAAGGTCTAATTTCTTTTCAGTTAGGTAATCTTTCACATTGGGGGCAAATGCATGGTGTAACCAGTTATAGAAAAATTCCCTAGTGACCCATGCCTTACTGTTTGCCCTCCACAGCACACACAAATTACCTGAGGACATTCTTTTGCCTGAACGCTCTGGGAGTTTCAGAGTGATACACTAAAAAAGGGCTTAACTTTGCAATCACCACTAGCATTGGCACACATCAAAAAAGTAACCCTGTCCTTTCATAGGCTTATGTCCTGGGAGTGCCTTTTCCTCCTGAGTAATGTAGGTCCTGCTTGGCATTTTCTTCCAGAACAGGCCTGTTTCATCACAATTAAACACTTGTTCAGGTTCCAGTCCTTCAGTTTCTATGTACTCCTTGATTCATGCACATATTTTTTCAGCCGCTTTGTGGTCCAACTGGCACCTCACCATGCCGTATCACACTATGGATGCCACTACGCTTCTTAAATTTTCTCAAAAACCCAACCTTTGCTGGCCTTAAATTCACTCACATCATCACTAGTTGCAGGCATTTTTTTAATTAAATCGTCATGCAACTTCTAGCCTTTTCACATATGATCGCTTGAGAGACGCTATCTCCTGCTAGCTGTTTTTCATTTATCCACACCAATAAGAGTCTCTCAACATCTTCCATCACTTGGCGATCTTTGTTTTCGAAAACACAGTTAAACCTTTGGGAACAACAGCTTCCTTGATTGCCGTTTTCTTGCCCAAAAATAGAAGAGATGGTTGATTTTGGTTTCTTGTACAACCTGACCAGGTCGGTGAACGTACTCCACTTTCATACTTATTTAATGATCTCTTTTTTCATTTCAATGGGTATTCTTACCCTTTGAGGTGTAGGGTGGCACTAGAAGCTTTCTTGGGGCCCATGGTCACTTATTTTCCAGAAACAGCACCGCAAACACTGTAATAATACGAAATATTCCGAGTGTATGCTTGAATGTTACCGCGGAGGCTGGCTGGTAAACAATGGCACGGGCGGCACATGTGAGGCTGGCTGAGGGCGCACATTGGACGCGTCTCGGACGAAGGCCGCTGAGCGGGTTTTTGTCCACTATGCGGGGCAAAATTTTAGCGAACAAAGCGTCCGCTATGCGGATTGTTCGCTATGCAAGGCGTTCGCTATGCGGGGGTCCACTGTATATGTATTATACGTAGTAGGTTGGTAAACAGCAATCGCCCAGGGAGGTACTACCGTCCTTCCAAGTGAGTGTAGAACGAACGCCTGTCATTGTTTTACATGATGGTAGGATTGCTGGTGTATTCTTTTGTCTGTCTCATAAACATGCAAGATTTCAGGTAAGTCTTGCTACTTCTACTTACACTTAAGTCACACTACACATACATGTTTTTTTTTTTTTTTTTTTTTCAACAAGTCGGCCGTCTCCCACCGAGGCAGGGTGATCCAAAAAAGAAAGAAAATCCCCAAAAAGAAAATACTTTCATCATCTTTCAACACTTTCACCTCACTCACACGTAATCACTGTTTTTGCAGAGGTGCTCAGAATGCAACAGTTTAGAAGCATATACGTATAAAGATACACAACATATCCCTCCAAACTGCCAATATCCCAAACCCCTCCTTTAAAGTGCAGGCATTGTACTTCCCATTTCCAGGACTCAAGTCCGGCTATATAAAAATAACCGGTTTCCCTGAATCCCTTCACTAAATATTACCCTGCTCACACTCCAACAGCTCGTCAGGTCCCAAATCCATTCGTCTCCATTCACTCCTAATCTAACACGCTCACGCATGCTTGCTGGAAGTCCAAGCCCCTCGCCCACAAAACCCCCCTTTACCCCTCCCCTCCAACCTTTTTTGAGGACGACCCCTATCCCGCCTTCCTTCCCCTACAGATTTATACGCTCTCCCCTGTCATTTTTACTTTGATCCATTCTCTCTAAATGACCAAACCACCTCAGCAACCCCTCTTCAGCCCTCTACTAATACTTTTATTAGCTCCACACCTTCTCCTAATTTTCCCCACTCTGAATTTTCTGCATAATATTTACACCACACATTGCCCTTAGACAGGACATCTCCACTGCCTCCAACCACCTCCTCCTCAGCTTTTACAACCCAATTTCACACCCTATAAAGTGTTGGTACATTTCATACATTCCCTTCTTTGTTTCCCATACAACGTTTTTTGTCTCCACATTTACCTCAATGCACCACCCCTTTCTTTCCTTCATCAATTCTATGTTTAACCTCATCCTTCTAAATCCACCGCTGACACGTCAACCCCAAAAATTCTAAAACATTCATTTCTTCCATACCCTCCTCCCCTTTGATACCCAAATTTTTTTTAAACTTTTTGATAACCATCACCTTCCCTCTTTTCTAATTTTCATTTTCAACTTCACCTTACACCCACCTCCCAAACTCCCCCCCCAAACCTTTTTCAACTTTTCTTAGAATCTCCCACAAGCACAGATCTCAAAAAAAGAAACGGAAATTTTCCCTTTTTCCCATTTGATTCCCCTAAAATTTTAATCCTACCCCTCTCCCCAACACCCTACATTTACTTTTTTTTACAACCCCAACTAAAATATTTAAACAACCTGATGACATTACACACCCCTGTCTAAACTTTTACGGGAAGTAGTCTCCCCTCTTCTACACACCCTAACCGGGCCCTCACTACCCCCTCATAAAAACTCTTTAAGCTTTTAGTAACTTACCACTATTCCATATACTTGCAACATCTGCCACATTGTCCCCTATCCCTCTACATTTTCCCTTTTTCAAAATCCTAAATGCAATAAAAATTTCCCTCCCTTTATCTAAATACTGTTCACATTATGCTTCAATGTAACACTTTAACTACACATCCCCCACCCACTCTGAACCTCCTTTCTCATCCACAATCCCCCATTCTGTCTTTCCTCCCAATTCTTTCAATAATAACCACGTACACTTTCCCGGTTTTTTCCGTAAAATTATTTTTTTTTTTTAAATTTTTACAGTCTCTTTTTTCCCCCCTTCCCTTTATAATGGAAATTTTAAAATGGTCTCTCCAACCCTTTGGACCTTCCCCCCTTTCATACATTTTAAAAAAATACCACCACTCCATCAAAATGTCCCTCCTCTTTTTAAAATTTCTTCATGCCCATCAGTTCCAGCTCTTTACCCCCTTTCATTCTATGTAATGCCCCGCACCTCCTTTCCCCACCATCCCGCTCTTCTTCACCCTAAAAGATGGGATACCTCCCTGGCCAGTGCACGAAATTACAGCCTCCCCCTTTTTTCATCGACATTTAAAAGTTCCTCAAAAAATTACTGCTACTACCCCAAAACCTCCCCTCCCCAACTACTTTTATATTACTCCAAAGGCATTTTTGGGAAATTTTTTCTCACCCTAGTTGTGTAGGATTTAAATTGAGTATAAAGCATTGCATTACTAAGCAAGGTTAGGTTGCAAAACTAATTTTTTGGGGCAAAATAAAAAATTTTTCATCCTTAAAATTAATTCAGGGGAATATATTTTGCTTAGCTCCAGAAGTGTTGCTCAGGCTTCAGGAAAACCTACTCAAACTTTTTTTTTTTCTGTTTTCCTTTCATTTCTTTTTATAACTTTCTCCTTGTCTTTTTCTCTTTTTGCTTCTAGTTGATTTTTTTTTTTCTCTTTTTTCCTTGTATCTTTTTTATTTTTATGGTTTTATTAACTTTTCTTTTTCTTTCTTTATATATCACCAATGATGACATATACGCAATATTTCCTAGTTGAAGGATAAGCTGAGGACGCCAGATGAGGGAGCAGACACTGCCGTGTGGTTAGCAGTGTCACCTGCAGCTGTACAGCACCCAGCAGGGCTGTTCTTCCAGGGTACATATCTATGTTCATCTTTGAATTTTTATACTTTGTTCCTTTATAACGTTTTGTGGAAAGTCCAGTCACTCAAAGGGGTATTTTTACAGTAGCATTAGTAACTAATGAGGTTGAAAAAAAAATCTGCACATTTCCTATCATCATTTTCCAGTAAATATTCACCTCTGATAGCTTCCCTGTATTTGAAGAAGATAAGTAAATGCTCATGTACAGTACACACTTTTTCTTTTACACAATTGAATTTACAGGCTAAGAGCTTCAATTCTACCTTAACTCATTTTGACATCCAGCTCTATCTAAGGTATACCACCACCCCACAGAATGTGACTAGGTGATTGATACAGTAGCTGGGCAATTGATATACAGGGGACCCTCGATTTTCGTATTTAATCCGTTCCAGAGCCATTGGCCAAAACTGAAATCAGACAAAACCGAAACCATTTTCCCCACTAGAAATAATGTAAATGGAATTAATCCGTTCCAGACACCCAAAAGTATCAACAACAAAATTTTTTTTTTACCTTAAAGATAGATTTACATGCACAAAAGAATGAACATTACACATGACACTTACGTTTATTGAAGGCTGTTGTTGCTGGAAGGAAGACAGGGAATAGGGGAGAGGGAAGAGAGGTTATTCTTTGGAAGGGGAATCCCCCTTCATAAGGACTCTAGGTACCAAGTCTTTATCCAGGGCCACTTCCCTCCTTTGTTTTTTAATGCCACTAGGACCAGCTTGAGAGTCACTGGACCCCTGTCGCACAAAATATCTGTCCAGATAGGTCTGTTTCTTGAAAATTTCCCTAAAATGGGACATGGCATTGTCATTGTAGAAGTCGCCAGCACGGATTGCAATAGCTTTCTCAGGGTGATGTTGCTCCACAAATGACTGCACTCTGGTCCACATTACACAAATATCCTGTGCTGTGGTCTGTTGCTATTGCAGATGAAGTTCTTTCAGCTCATCAGTGGTTAGCTCTTGATTGTGGTCATCCACTAACTCTTCCACATCCTTGCCACTCACATCCAACCCCAAGAAATTACCAATGCCACAATTGATTGCATAACAGGTGTAGAGTCGACAGGGTCAGCCTCAAACCCCTCAAAATCCTTCTTTCAGACACAATCTGGCCACAATTTTCCCCAAGCAGAGTTCATTGTCCTGGAAGTCATTCCCTGCCAAGCCTTATCTATAAGGCTTATGCAATGGAAGATATTGAAGTGATTCTTCCAGAACTCTCTTAGGGTCAATTCAGAGCCTGTGGTTAGGTCAAAGCACCTTTGAAACATCGCTTTGGTGTTCAGTTTTTTAAAGTTTGCAATGATCTGCTGGTCCATGGGCTGGATGAGAGGAGTGGTGTTAGGAGGCAAGAACTTCACTGTTACAAAACTGAATTCTTTAGACAATTGGTCTTCCAAGTCTGGAGGATGAGCAGGAGCATTGTCCATTAACAGGAGGCATTGGAGTGGCAATTTATTATCTAGGAGGTATTTTTTCACACTGGGGCCAAACACTTCATTGAACCATTCCAGAAAAATTTCCCTTGTGACCTATGCCCTACTGTTAGCCTTCCACATCACACAATTTACTCTTAACAACACTGTTTTTCTTGAACACTCTGGGGTTTTCAGAGTGATACCCCAGTAAAGGCTTCACTTTGAAATCCCCACTAGCATTACCACACAACAAAAGAGCCTGTCTTTCATAGGCTTGTATCCTGGGAGTGCCTTTTCATCCTGCATGATGTAGGTCCTCTTCAGCATTTTCTTCCAAAAGAGGCCTGTTTCATCACAATTGAACACTTGTTGGGGTTGGAATTTTTCAGCCTCTACATAACATTGGAATTCCCACACGAATTTTTCAGCCGCTTGTTTGTCTGAACTGGCACCCTCACATACCTTACAATACTGTGTATGCCACTTCGCTTCTTGAATTTTTCGAACCAGCTTTTGCTGGCCTTAAATTCACCTACATCAGCACTTGTTTCAGGCAGTTTCTTTATGAGATCATCATGCAACTGCCTTGCCTTTTCACAAATTATGGACCGCACAACACACTCTCCTGATCCACACCAACAACAATTTCTCCACTTCTTCAGTCGTTTGGGATCTCTGTTTGGTTATTGCATTCACCCCTTTCGCAACATCAGTTTCCATGATTTCTTTTCTCTTTGCCACTGTGGAGCTGATTGCTGATGGCGACTTCCCGTACATCCTGCCGAGTTTCAGCAATGCATATGCCACTATCATATTTTCTTAGGATTTCTTTTTTCAGTTCTGTGATGTTCCTCACTTTCTTTACCAAAGCACTGGCACTAGGAGCTTTCTTTGGGGCCATGGTCATTTATTTAGTAGTCAGACAATAAACAAGTGGCAAAAACAGTGGAATATTACGAAATGTTTCATATGACCTGGCAGGATATGTTCACTCAAACCATACCATGGATGGGGATAGAACCCGCGATCAGTGTCTCAGAACTCGCTGAGAAACGCTACACTGGCTAAGAATGCATGTGGGAGGCGGCTTTGTCTGCGCGCTGGGCACTGGACAGGTTCCATATGATCGACGAAAACGGAACCAAAAATCGACGAAAATGTCGGCCAAAACTGAAATCGGTGATAACGGAGATCGACGAAAATGGAGGGTCCACTGTACATTGACTAGGTAATAAGTACACAATGGCTAAGTGATACAGTGTAAAGTAAAAGGACACAATCGTAAGTAATGTGACATTTTATTGTGGCAACGTTTCACTCTCCAGGAGCTTTATCAAGCCGTTACAAACAATCCAAGGACACAGAAGGTATATATAGGCTTAGAATGAGGTGTAATACTAGTAGTAGTGAAATAAGTTGTAGTAGTAGTAGTAGTAGTAGTAGTAGTACTAGTAGTAGTAGTAATACAATATGGTAGAATAGTCAACTTGCACATGAGTAAAAGGATATAAAAGCTATTACTTGGGTATCATAAAATAGGTTAGACAAATATTTCTTTTGGAGGTTAGATTAGAGAAGGCCTGTTTCAGTGTTCATCCACTGTAATATGCTTGTGTAATATTAGCAGGAGAGACTATATGATGGCAGGGTTTACTGTTTTCAGGAGTTGCTAAAACTTCAGAGATGGTGAAGCTGCCTTTTTGTTTAATTGTGTTAGAAACAGTGATTAATGCTGATTCAAGGCACTTGCATCTGTGGAAATTAGTTTCTTTGATCAGTAAATGGGCGTCCCTGAATTTCATGAGATGATTGGTGGAATTCCAGTGTTGTATGCAGGCATTGTTCAAGTTATCGTTCCTACATGCATAAATGTGTTTATTGAGGCGTGTTTCAAGATTTCTTGCTGTTTCACCTACATAAATCCTGTCGCAGCCTCCACAGGGTATAGTGTAAACCCCCCTTGTGTCCTTTTACTTTACATCTTGTTGGTAATTCTACCAACATATATACAATAAGTGATACTAGTAGTCATTTTGTTTCTGTAGATACAGAATAGGAGGTATGAAGTAGATTTTAATAGAAATGTCTTTCCAGATAGAAATCCTGCTCCCACTCACTTGCCTTTGGCATCAACCAAAGTGACCACCAAAGAGAAGGAAGAATTCATGACTGCTCTTGAGGAGCTTTCCAAGAAATTTGCTGGATAAACTTGGATTATTGAATGTGTGGGATAGGTAACAATGTCGCCTAAATTTTTTTTTGATCATACGTTGGTTTATAACTTTATTTTTCACGTTTTCTGTCACAAAACTGTTTTATTAATAAGCTAGTTGACATTTACTGTAATTGCTTGTCTGTGGCTCCTTTGTCAGCAGTATAAATGAGTTATTTTATTAAAAATAATTGTTGCCTCTTAACAGTTTAGATTATATTTAGCACACCCATGCTGTTTTATATATATAGTAATACAGCAGTACAGTATAATTTTCTGTATTTTTTCACTCCCATTTATGGTTATAATAAAAGCATATTACTTTTCTTGACTGTTTTATTCTTGATTTTGACACTTAGATGATCCATTGTACTCTAGTTAATAGTTTCTTTGGATGTATAGGCATGCCATCTAGGATGGGTATGAAGATAAAATATACAAAACAATTTTTCAATGACACATCTTTTTATTTAAGGTAAAGCTTTATCAAGCTCTCCTCTTCAAGGGGGGCTCCTTGGTGTGGTGAAGAGGCTCTTGGTCTGAGGAATTAGCCCTGTCGGTCTTCTTCCTCAGACCGAACCTAATTACCCCCCATTCTCCCCTCCCCTATCCCATCCTCCCCTTTTTCCATTCCTCCTCTTCCTCCTCACCCCTCCCTTTTGCCCTTCCTCTTTTTGGCCTTTGGGATTTCTCCCACAGGCGCGCTAGTTCCTAGGTAGGGGAAAGGACACCGGGGTCCATCCCATTCCGTTGAGGTTCTTGGCGGTGGCGTAGTTTGCCGGGGGGAAATCTGGATTGCCTGGGGATGTCCCGATCCCTCTCCGGTATCCCGGAGTAGCTATGGGTGTCTTTCGGGCGACGGGTGTATCTCTGGAAGCCACCTTTCGGATTCCGGGGTGGAGGCCGAAGGAGGTATGCTTTTGTGGCAAGATATCCGGCCCCCCCTCTCTTTTGTCCACCGAGGTAAACTCGGCAGATGTGAGGTTGCTATCCCGGATTGCCCGGTTTACTGGCATGAAGGGTAGGGTATGGCACGGGTTCCATGCTGCTCTGTGCTACTAGCGGTGCTGAGGTCCTCTTGGGCACGGAGGGAGATTTCCGGGCCCTTCATTCCTCCTGGGAACTATTCCTCCCCGCTTCCCCCTTTTTTTTCTTTTTTTATTTTTCTTTTCTTTTCTTCTCTTTTTTTTTTTTCTTAAAACAAAAAGCAAAGGAGATTTAACCAAAACCATGGCAGCCCTATTCCATAAACCCCACTCCCCCGGGGCCCCTTCTTGAAACCGCCCCCCATTCTGACCCTCCCTTTTTTTTAAGACCACCTTCGGACATTTCCTGATACCCCTTTTCCTCTTTGGTGCGTTTCCCCCCACCCCTTCAGGTACCGGGGTTCGACTGACCCCCTTCCCGATTTTGTCTGAACTTCCGCTTCCTTTGACTATGCTTCCGGTTTCCCTCCCTCTACGGTACGGCAATTTTCCCGAATCGCCCGCCCATTTCACCCCCGGACCAACTCGGGTCCAAACTCCTAAACGCCAAAAGTCAATCTCCTGAGGGAATGCTCCTTCGAAACCTTCCCATTCTACTCGGAAAAGACCGACACGTCAACACTCCCTCTCCCCCGCTCAGTTTTCGGACCACACAAGGGCTAAATTTTTTACTTTAAGACCGACTTCTTCTTCTTTTTTGCCTCCCTTTTCCCTGACCAAAAGAAATTGGAAAAAGCGCTCCGGGCGCATGTTGGTGGGAAATTTTTTTAAATTTTAATGCTCCAAAGCTTTATCGAAATCGAAAACTGTCCAAATGCTACCCAAGCTCATGATCTTTCTCCCCTTTTCCGAAAAACGAAACTACTCCTATCACTAGAAAAAAAAAAATTTTTTTCCTAAATTTCCCTTGTAGTGGTACTGTCATTCGCCCCATACCATAGTCCAACAGTTTTTCCCAAATCATGGGGCCCAAGACATTTTTAAACGCTGGAACTCCAGGATCCCCCAAAATCCTAAAAGAGACACTTATGTCCTTCCTGCCCGGGGGCGGGGGACTTTACCCTTAAAATTTTTGGCTCGTTTTAAATTTTTGGGACACCCCAAACTCCCGCCCCTCTGTATATGTCGCAGACATCATTTTAACAAGTTCGAAAGGTGATACCAACACCGCAAAAAGGGTAAAAACTCTGGCGTTTTGGTCCCCCCCAGCGAAAAAAATTGCAGATCTTGGCCGAATGCCCAGCCCGGGGGGCCCGGGACGACCATTCTAATACATTTTGGGAAAGTCAACCCCAAACTTGCCTTTTTTGTAATAAAGCTCACCCTTTGAAATTTCCCGCCTTGCCAGGTAAATTTTAAATAAAACGTGAAATCCTTTTGCCTCAAAGAGGCAGGTCCCCCTTATGCTATGGCAGTTACCCCATCTCCGCCCCCAAGGGAACTACCCCGTGTTTTCTTTTTCCCCGTTTTTTCCAAACACCCCCCCACTTCGGGGCCCCAAAATCTTTTTGTAGCCTCCCCCTGTTTTTTACCCCCCCCCATAGCCACCCCCGGGCATCTAACCCTTTTTGCTGTCCTTGGCTCTGACGTCCCGACACAACTCATCTTTTTCTCACATCTTCGCGCCCTTTCCCCTCACAAGCCCCAGTATCGACAAACCTCGAAAAAAACACCAAATCCCAAATCGCCCCTCACCAGAAGCCCCAAAAACCCACATGCTCAAAATCTTATTTCCCCCTTTCCCTTTCCCCTTTTTTCCACCCCAACTTTCCCTTTCCAGTCTCTGTCCCTTTTCTATTCTTTCCCCCTCCCTCTGGCTCTTTTACAAGTGGGAGATTAAACCCCCCCCTTTCGTACAAATCCCTTTCCCAAACCCCCCGTCCCCCCCCAAAATTTTTTCTCCCTCTTCGCCAAACCCCCCAGTTTTGCCTCTTCTGTCCCCCCCCACACTTCACCCCCAGCCCCTTAACTTTTTCCCCTCCCCCTCTATTTTTGGTACAGCCCCAACTGTCCCAATCTTTAACTCCCCCCTCCTCCTTCTATCTCCAATATGGTCCTCCCATAAAGTTTTTGAATTCAAAAACACTTAAAACCCTTTTTTCAGAATATTTTTCCCCAGATCCCTAAACCTTCAAGGGACACTGATTCACTTCCTTTTTCCTTCCCCTTCCCTCTCCCCCAATCTTCAAAACCCCCATTTTTCCCCAATGCCCCCTTCCTTCGCTTTTTGAACCCTTCCAATGCCCCACATGTTGACTTTTCTAACCCCCTAGTCCGAAAGGTCCTTTACCTACAAAATTCCGGGTATTTTCTTCACCCGCCAATAAATTGGCCTTTTTTACAGTGGAATACCCCGGGGCCCCAAAGGGGTAATCGGGGGGGAGTTTCCCAGATTTTGTTTTCCCCGGTTTTTCCCCTTTTGGGTTTGCTTGCTTACAAAGAACCAAAATTACACTGGGCTTTTTCCCCCAAAACCTATCTCAGGCTAAAATTTTAAATTGTATTCTTGGGTTTCCCCTTTTCCCCTCAGATGGGCCCTTTTTAATGAAAGTGCCCTTTTCAAACCGCAATGATATTCCGTACTGTCAACATTTGTCCATCCCCTCGCGGGCATTACACTGAAAGCCCGACCCCACTTGAATAAGTGGTTTACAATATTTCTTTATATCTCTCTCCTTCTCGAGCTTTTTTCTATCCCAGATTTGCCTTTCCCTTGTTTCATCCTTATAAACCACCATTCTGTATTTGGTGTTTTTAAATTTGCCCCCCCTTTCCTCGGGGGGGGGGTCCCTTTGTGATTTCACGTGGCACCCCCAGTTGGGGGCTTTTCCCCCCTTTTCCCCCCTCCATGTTTTTAAATACAGGACTCCCCACCCATTTTGATCCTCGTACTCTTTACTCCCCTCTTGCCATGAACTATCAGTCGCTCTTTCCCTAAATTTTAAAAAAAAAAAAACAGACTTCACCGGGTCCTGTTCAAACCGGATTTAACATGACAGCGATCATTTTCCGATCTTTCTTACTTCTCCTTCCAATTCACCACCTTCCGTAGCCCTCCTGGGAAATTTTGGGGGCTTTTCTCACACCTCACTGCTTTAAATGAGGTTTCCTTTTTCATCCCCCACTGATGGGGGCTCCTACACATCTTTCTCGACTCAGTTTATAAACCCCAGCTTCTCAAATTTTATACCCCCAAAACCCCAAGCAGGCCCTTTTCCCGAAGTGCTGCCTTTTGGTTTTTCTCCTGCTTTTGCTTTGTTTCAGTAACGTTTTGAAACGTGCTGCATGGGGCAGGTACCGGTACAATAGAACCGCTGAAGACTTTTTGATTTTAAGCGAAACGTGCGATCCCCTCGCCGTATCATTTCCCGGGAACTAAACGCCCTTTTGGGAAGAAATTTTTCCCAAACCCTCACCCCTGCTTCTTTTTATGAGTGCAGTCCCCGGAAAAAAGTTGAGGGAAATTGGTGGTAAATACTCTCCGACCCCGGGTCCCCGTTTTTACGGGGGCGCTGGTGTTGATGTAGCAAAAACCCCCTCACGGGGCCAAATTTAAAATTGGCAAAACATCGGTCCGTATTTCCCCCAAGGGCCCCCATCTATGCCCCTCTTTCTTTCCTCCAAATCCCGCCCGAGAGTTTTTGTACCCTTGGACCCCTTTTTCTTTTCTCAGAGAAGAACAGTATAATTTTGCCTTTTTACACTTCAAGAACCCGAGGCAAACCCCTCAGCTTGGGCCCATCATCGGCAAACTGGGCCGGGCACATTCATATTTGTAGTTACAACATTTTTCATCGGTCACCCTTTAGTCCTCTTCACCTCTTCTTTTATTTTTTGGGCACAAGGGGTTCTTCCCCCCCGTGGGAAAACTGCCATTGTTCTCCCTTTCCGCAAACCTGGTACTACAAGACATGATGCCTCCCACAATTTGCCCCCATCGCTCTTAAATAGTGCAGTTTTTCAAAAATGATGGAAAAGTCTCGTAAAAACGAACCCCTTTTTAAAGTGGTATTTTTGAGACACAAAAACAGTCTCTCCGCCCAGTCCCAAAATGGCTTTCGTAAGGGGGCTTTTCTAACCATAGACCCCTTTTCTACGCATGGATCCCCCTGTTTCCCCTAAGCCTTTGCGAATAAAACACCAGTTTTTTTGCCATATTTTTTGACCTTGGGGAAGGCATTTGACACAACTTTGGGGGTTTTAATTAAAAAATTTTTGGCCCCCGGCCCCTTTCCCTTTGGGCCCCCGAGGAAAACCTTTCCCTCCTTCCTTAAGAACTTTTTAAATGACAGACATTTTTCCCCCTTCGAGTCAATAATGTTCCCTTTTCCCCGGGCTTC